TGAAGGAGGCACAAGAGTTGTTTGAGCGTGAAGTCAAGCGACTTACTGATGGAGGAGATGCAACTTCTTCCTACGTGTCCGCAGCCAGTGCCGGTGCGGATGTGAAAAGGGAGGCTAGTGCAATGAGTGTGGAGAAAGGCCCTAAGGTGTTGGGAGCTAAGCCAACTCTAGGCGCTGATGCTTCAGGGTCAAGATCTATGGGACTGGATCTTCCCCCTGGACTACCTGGAGGGCGACTTCCTGGGGGCATGGTGGCTGCACCGACGGTGGTGCCAGAGGCGGTTCGCAGCTTGGAGCTTCCTTCTTTGCCTCATCCTGCCACGGATGGAGCTGCGCTTCTTTTTGGTGATTGGTTGATTGTGGCTTACCCTTTGATGTCGGATTTGTCATCTACATCGCAGCTCTGGTGGGATGGTTGCTTGGAAGCAGCGCAGCAGCTGTATGAGCAGTGGCTTGTGGCCACGCCCTTGGAGCGCCTTCGCTTGAAGCCAAAGGAGGTGACTGTGGACCCTCTTCACCAGCGTGTTGAACAAAGAGGAGTTTCGTTGCTTTTGAGTGTGTTGCCAGATCAGTTGAGGCGCGACGTGATTTCGGCCAGAAATGTCACGACCGTGAGCATTTTGTTCAGGCTCTTCGTTGTCTACCAACCTGGAGGCAGTGCTGAACGCACGACTTTGCTGAAGAGTTTGACAGAGGTCAAGGTCGGTCACACGATCCCTGACTTGCTGGCCACAATGAGACAGTGGCGGCGCCAACTTCAGCGGGCTGAAGAACTGAAGGTGACCTTGCCTGATCCCCTTATCTTGATGAACGTGCTTGGCAAGCTGATGGACTCGATGTCAAAGTTGGGGGGCAGCCAGGTTGCTTATAGAATTTCTACGGTCCGCCAAGAACTGCTAGTCGATCAGAGACCTGGGATGAGCTCGATCAAGGACCTGAGTGAGTATCTCCAAGCAGAATTGGAAGACCTCGCACTTGTGATTGCTGTGCCCAAGAGTGCTTCTGGTGCAGTTCCAGCAGTGAATGCTACCCAGCCCGTTGCAACGATCAAGGCTTTGCAATCTGGATCCTCTGAAGAGAAGTCAAAAGCTACTTGCAGATATTGGGGCACGACTGCAGGATGTCGAAAGGGCGAACAGTGCACTTTCTTACACTCATGGGAGAACGTGCCGAAGGAGAACCGTTGTTTTGTGTGCTCTGGAGAGTCCCATTTTGCCAAGGACTGCCCGACCAAGAAGGACCGGAGCTTGCGAGACGTGAAGAAAGTGTCAAAGGTTAAAGGTGCCCAGAGCTCAAGTGAGGCCACATCCAAGCCGTCGGAAGAAGTCTCACGATCCAAGGTGAATGAGGAGGTGACTGGACCTACAGCCACTTCGAGCTCGACGCCCTTGAAGAAGTCTAAGGCATCTGGCAGCGAAAATGTGGAAAAGGTTGCAGCCCCATCTACCGACGCGGCAACTGCTTTGATTGCAGAAGCGACTAGTTTGCTGAAGTCGCTAAGATCGATGAAGGCTTGCAGAGTCAAACAGGTGGTATTGGCTGGCATGAACTTGGATGACCCAGTGGCCCTCCTAGACGGAGGGGCAACAAACCCTCCCCGGATGGTCGAACCTCACGAGCGAGATGACCTCTCTCCGGTTCAGGTGGAGCTTGCGCATGGTTCAACCACTCTGTACAAGAAGCCTCACTGCAGCACACTGCTTTCGTTAGATCCAGTGGAACCAATAATTCCACTCAACCTTCTTGTCCAGCATGGATTCAAGATACAGTGGTCCAGACAGGGATGTGTGATACAGCATCCACGACATGGTCCAATTCGCTGCTGGTTGAGGGCAGGCTGTCCAGTGATGAATCGCTCCAGCGCACTGAAAATGCTTCAGGAGTTTGAGCAGTTGGAGATGGGCCAACAAGGTCCAAGTGAAGAAGAATTGGCATGGTGGCGCTCTCGCTTTCCTGGCATTCCCGAGGACTTTGCGAAGGCCATGGAGGGTACATTGGAGACACCTTCGGGAGCTGAAGTACCATGGAATAGACGCCAACGTCGGGCCCACATGAATTCTAAGGGTGTGATCGTACACCTTTTCTCGGGTGCTGACACTGGGAGGTGGAAGAAGGATGCGCCTCCTGGCTACACCTGGATTCACATAGACACTCTGCTGGGTTCTCAGTTTGACCTCCACAGTGAGCCAGTGTGGGCATATTTATGTCACCTGGCCAGATGCAACAGGATCCGAGCGATCCTTGGAGGCCCTCCATGCAGGTCTATATCACGGCTCCGGAACAAAGGGCCTCCTGGACCTCGCCGGGTTCGAGGTCGTGGTTCACTGCGGTGGGGCGTGCCAGACCTCACCCAGAAGGAGCTTGAGCTGGTGGTGGGAGACACCATCTTGGTTTTCAAGCACCTTGGCTTGTGGAAGTTGGCGGAGGAAAACAGAAAGAGTTCTATTCGCACAGGTTTCCTTCTGGAATCTCCAATGGACCCCGCTGACTATTTGACGGGCCCTGAGGCGGAGGAAACGCCCTCCTACTTTGAATGGCCCCAGCTCCGGCAGATGCTTGAAGCAGAAAGCATGCTCATAGTGAACTTCGATCAAGGCTCGACTGGGCATGAGCGCCGCAAGCCTACAGGACTTCTCACGAATCTTCCTTTGATGGAGCAGCTGAATGTGAAGGTGGGGGGTGGCCAGTGTGGACCTATTTGGGGGGAGCTAGAGGAGAGAATGGCTCGCTCTCGCTCGTGGGCTACATGGTCTCCTGGGTTGGTCAAGGCCATTCAGACCTCTCTATGTCTTCTCTTGCAGGATAAGGAGGAGGTGGTTCAGTTGTCCAAGATGGATTTGGCTGGTTGGCGTCGCCACGTTCGCCAACAGCACACACCCTTCAGGCGGGACTGCCGCACTTGCATCGAATCGATGGGCACTCAAACCCCTCATCGGCGCAGTCGCACTGCGGCTACTGCATTCACTATGTCGGTGGATGTTCTTGGTCCCTTCGAGGCTGGAAAAGACTTGGGGACGGGTAAGGTGTGCCGCTACGCCTTACTGGCA